TGGGAGTCCCTCCACTGCTTTCCCCTGTAAACAGGCCTTTCATTCAATTACAGAGTGTCACCAGCAGATGGCGCTTTCTTCACAAAAATCTTCCTCGGTGTTATTGTGTCTTGTAAAATAAAGACGACTGCTGATTTAGCACTATAGGAGTGAAACAGGATTTACTTGAACGTCACATTATTTCGACAGCTTTTGTTCTTAAACCTCTGTTAAAACAAAAACTCAAAGAAAACGTTGAATAAAGGTTTAGTTTGACCATTTACACAGTTTGTACCACAAACCACCAAAACTGTTTGCAGTAAACAGTTCTTCATTCATTTCAATCTAATGTAATAAACACATTCAACGTTACTTGTTCTTCGTGAATTATGAGCACGTCCCTAATTTTTTCTGTTAGGTTACCATATTTGTTTTAACCTCTGCTATTGTGCAGAGGTTAAAGTTTGAAGCCAGGAATCTCCCAGCAGTGTGATCTGGACCAGCAGCTTTCCATGTGTTGACTCTGCAAAGAGTTTTCCTCCCATCAGCGGAGGTCAGACACAGAACCCGGGGGTTGGACTTCCTCACCACGTCATTCTGAGCTTCAAACCGTGCGTTGTTCAGTGCATCTGGTAGGGAGGCGTCACCATGGCAGGCAGGTGTTGATGGCCTGGATGCCCGGCCACATGCACCACATGTCGCCGCTGCTCTGATGGCCCGAGACAGTTTGTATATAATCAATAAATGTAGTCCCCCTCAGCACACACACACACACACACACACCAGAAATTGGTTTGTTGCCTCAGGACAATAAAGTGCTTTAAGTGTAACAAAATGTCAGTAAATTTATGAGAAAACAACTAATTGGTTCAAAATTTTAATTTTAACAAACCAGCTGATTTTCATGTAAGTGTTTAGTAACAATGAAACAATAGACTGCTTTTATAGCACTTTCTACATCCACACTCCAGTGAAGCAAACTTGGTTCAGGAATACTTTGGCACACAGACCACCAACCTCTAACTTTCCCATCAGCAGATGATTTGTTTATTATTGACTTGTGGCTCAGGTCTGTGCCTGGGCTAATGCATGGCCTCTGTGTGACACCACGCATGATGCATACATCTGTATCTGCAGTTGTACAAGTTTCTGTGTGTCTAACGGCTCTGCGTGGAACTACCAGGGTTTTAATAGTTTTGCAATTTTCATTAGTTTTTATTTTTATTTAGTTTTGACTTCAGATTTTCAAATTTATATCAGTTTTAATTATTTTTTACCAATTGTTTGCTAGTTTAGTTTAGTTTTTTTTTTTTTTGAAAATCCTTAGTTTCAGTTTAGTTTTGATTAGTTTCAGTTATAGTTTTAGTTGTGTTTGCAATAATTAAGTGTAACAAAATCCCAGTTTCATCATATCAGTCATTCTGCTCATCCTTGGGTATGTTGCTATTCCAGCTACCATACTGCACCCTGGACAGGTCGCCTGTCTGTCGCAGGGCTAACACGCAGAGACAGACAACTCACATTCCCACCTATGGGTTCTTTAAATAAATAAATAAAGGCAGATGAACAACCATTGATACCAGGCAACTATAAAATGTATATCTTGGCCCCAATGAGACTATTAACTCTCGCAGCACCAGGTGTTCGTAATTTTGGTTCAAGTGAATTGATAAACTTTTTGAAGGTAACTGACTCACAGTTGTGTAGATATCCCCGTCCTGTTGTCTCGGGATGCATCACGCTGCCTTGCCTGGGGTTAGCTTCTGTTTTCTGGGGATGAGGGTTGAGTGTGCTCCCTTACCTTCTCAAGCTAAGCTAGGTTAGCCTTCTTGTGTGAGCTTTTCAAGTGCACTTTAAGGTTTGTGGGATTTTTTTCCCTTTAGAAATGTCCCTCATAATTTGTCTGTTTCCACTACAAGACACTTGCTTTATCCAAAACACAGTCATATTCAAAGTCATCCCAAACTGGACTCTGGCTCCCGACTTTTCCTGACATGATTCTGCGCGTGGACGGAGCAGCGACACAGACGACTCGACTAACGTGCTGCCACCTGCTGGCATAATGAGACACAGCAAGAAAACAATCTGGAAACTAAACTTCATTTTCACCCTTGACTCTTGTATGACACGCACACATCAATGAAAACTAAACACATTTTTGCTATAAATTCAGTTAATTTTAGTTAGTTTTGTGAACACTCATTATAGTTTTAGTTAGTTTTCCTTTTTTTGCAAAGTCTTGTTTTCATTTTTATTTCCGTTAATGAAATTGTTTTTTCACTTCTAGTTTTCGTTAACGATAATAACCTTGGGAACTACATCCTGGCTCCTTACATCACAAAGTGTCCTCTAAAGACACACACAGACACACACGATCTCCTAACTGTTCTTTAGCATCCTTCTGGGATCTTCTCTTACTCGCTGTCACTCTCATGTGACATTCCTCACCAGGGGAGTGACCCGAACTATACAATCAAACTCTTTCCTCCCTTAAACTGTTCTTGTGCCCATTTTCTGTTTCCACATGAAGTCAACAAACAGCGTTCTTGCTCATGTATTCTTGTTGTCCAGGTGTGAGAGCACACAGAGTACACAGAGTACACAGTGGGTACAGCATCCTCTGCACTATTGACTCGATAGGCTAATTGGTGAGGATCCAGTGTGGGGGAAGCACGTCTTGAGGCTTCTCGGATGAGAGGTGAAACATCTTCAAGGAAACTTACAGAAGTCCAGACGCTTCTCTTTCCAAGCTCCTTAGACTACGATGACCTGGATGACTGAGAACCTTCACAGACATGTCAGTTCACTAAGTTAAGCTTAGCGGACAGAAAGTTCAGCACACAGGCCGAGAACAGGATTGGTCCCAGTAGAAACTAGAAACAACCACAAACCACTTCAGAATGATTCTCCTGTAGGGGAAGCCCATCTAGAGTCAGCTTGGCCATTGTAGCTGTGAGAGAAAGACGGCAGATCTTAACATACATGTTTGAAAAAGGATAAGTAAGGATAAAAATGCATGCATCAGTGGATTTGAATACCCTTTAGTTTTATATAGATGATCATTTCTATGGGCATTTTAACCCAGGAAGCACTCTCAGTCTTTCAGCTCTGAAACGTCACACATGACAAACATTTGTTTGAAAAAACAACAAAACACTTTCCCGATTAGTCCTGACGTCACGGCCTGCTCACTGAGACAGGCTCCACACATGCTTTACCTTTGAATCAAAGTATTATTATAATAATGTAAATGCGTAAAACTAATGTATAACCCGTCAGAAATGTATCCTGGTTTTCTACATTTAAACTAAACTCAGATATGAAAGATGTGGATAAATGTGCTTCTGTTTCCACCACCAGTCGCTATGCTTGGTGACCAAGTTCTGACTCCAGCTCTTCCCCGAAACAGAGCTCTGTATTCTTCTTCTTCCTGTTCTCCCAGAAACAAAACATGAAAGCTTTAACTACACAGGAGAAAGACAGCAGGGAGGGAAGAGGAACATGTAGAGAAGAGAGGACGGATGCTCCTGATCACCTCTCCATCGTCCCACACTTCCCTCTGTGCAGCACAGCGTCTGTGTCTGAGCTTTGACTGCAGTGTGGGGAAATCTGCCTGCAGTAAAACATGGGAGTGTCCTCCCTCCACTTCACTGTCTCTGTGCCCCCACCAGTCTCCACTGTTAGAGGCTTCAAGTAATAAGAAAAATACAAACAGTGGTGAGACATCCAGCATGTTTCCAAAGTCGGTACGTGGATATCTGCCATTTCTCCAGTTTACCAAAAGAATCCAGTCTCACCCCCCCAGACCGTTGTTATGGTGACACTTATACGGACTTCATTACAGTTGTAACACACTTACTCACTCTTTGTTTTGATTTATGTCTGTGTGTGATCATGGATTAAACACACCTTGTGTTTTAGAGGTGCTCCGCCTCCTGCTCCCAGCTCGTGATGATTAACTCACCTGTGAATAACTGTGTGATCAGCAGCTTCCTAAGCTGGAGGACGACACCTGATAAATACCTGATTGTGTCTCCAGCACATGCACAGAGGCAGTGATGTCTGTTCTGTGCAGGAAGCTGGACCCTGTGAGTACGACACAATGGCTCAACGCTAAGTGCTGAGCTAGTGCTAAACGTGCCTGTTTACAGGTTTCTGTACATGAACCACAGAAGAAATGCTGCAGACCAACAGGTTTGCAGTTTATACGAGGATGCTGAAGCTAGCATCTAACGTTAGTAGAGCTTGACTGTTAGAAAAGCACTTTCTGCTAAACGATCCTCGTTCTCACTCGGATTCATTCATTTGTCTTGAAAAGGTGTTTTATTTCTTCCTGCTTCTCTAATTCAAGAATAACCTTATCACTTTACTCGCCTTTGACTTAAACACTGTGAATGACCATCACAAAGCCTGACTAACTATTGCTCCCTTAAACGGCATCTTTGGATCCTCTTGCAGCGATCCACGACTGTATTTTCTGTTTGTCCTCGAGCTAGTTTATTAAATCCTGGACATCCCGACCATCAGCTGAGCGCTCTCTGAAAATAACCTTGAAACAAATGTGGCATCGAGATCACAGCGAGCTGTATGAATGTGTACGCAGGAGGCAGGTGAGCCTCGCAGGTGATGCTGATGCTCCAGGAAGTGTGGAAGCAAGCGTCCCCTCGCTCTTACATAAATCAGTGCACTCCACAGGAACTGTCCACTCCAATCGCGCGGATCACATGACCCACACACGTCGGTGACCCCCTCCCGACTCACCTCTCAGGAATGTCGCCGCATTGACGCTACCTACGTCACGTCCAGTTTGACCAACTGTCAGGCGTGGGTTGCGTAACGGCGTGGAAAACGCCAAGCGGAAGTTGCTAAGCCAGATATGGATTGGTGGGTGGGGCCACTACGCCAGAGCCGTTGGATGGGAGGGCTCCGCACTAAACACGTGACTAATTTGATGCTGCATTCAGGGACTTGTCATAAAACACTACAAATGCAGCTTCATTTTCTCGCGGCGTAACTAGTCAAAGTAAATGCAGCCGGAAACTACAGAGAAGAAGCGTCATCTGTGTGTAACGACAGCAGGTAGTTCGGTGGGATAAAGACTCTGAACTGCAGTAGTGAACGTGGAGAATATAACGCCTGACTCACACGATCACAGGCCGGATAACAAACTACTGCCGTGACGGAACATCGTGCCGTGGTCGCTTTTGTTTTTTATTTCAACTTATCGCCGTTTCTTTGGGTGCTCAACTTAACCTGACGTCAGTGAAGGTATCAGAGCTTCCAAAGGCGACCGTGAGACGGCTTCAGCCCGAGCGAGAGGCCGGTGTTTGTTTTTGGAGCCAGGACAAAATGCTGAATCCGCAGAGGTCTCTGTCCGAGCTGCCGAAGACGTCGACGGCCAGTCAGGTGGAGCGCGGTGTGCTGGTGAGCTGCTCCGCGTCTGTCGCAGCGCCGCTGTTAGACTCGCGAACAGCTGGTGGTGCTTCACACTGTTATTGCACTGAGCTGCCCACGGTAGCTGTTAGCCCCGAGCCTGCCCGCGCGCTGTTTCTGTGACATTGTGGGTGACGGTCAGTGGGCCCATGGCGACGGCTCACTGACCGTCACCGTGATGCCGTTACCGACAGGTGAGCGCGAGCCTACCGATGACAAACTGCACCTAAACGTTTCCCTGGTCTCCCTCACTGCAGGGCGGGGGTCATACGGTTAAACATGGCATCAACACGCGTGTAAATGTCACAGAGTGTATCTCTGCGACAGCAGGAGGGATGATCTAATATGGCTGAACAGATTCAGCCATGTACTGGTAAAACCGTCTGTTTGCCAGTAACAACCAATCACAGGTAAGCTCGCTGGAGCTCCCAGTGTCACAGCTGGTTGACGGTCCACGGCTGGCTGACGGTCCACGGCTGGCTGACGGTCCACAGCTCAGGCCTGTCCTTCAGTAATGAGACAGGAACAGTCTGAGCTGGACACACGGGGCAGGAACATCACAGCGAATAATGTCACCACTTTGCATTTTTGTGAGAGAACATTAGCCGTGTGGTTTTTATGCTTTCAGACAAACCAGTACGGTGTAAGGTCTAAGTGTGGAGCCTCTGCACTGAGCCCCCACTGTGGACACGCGGCACATTACCACTGCTGCTTAGTTCCACGTCACAGCCTGTTGGTATCATTAGTGTCCAGGATCTGCATGGACCATGAAACAGTGGTGTGTGTGGGGACGTTAACGAAACCACGGCAGGACGGGTCGTCCCCTTGTAGACCGGTGCTCCCCCAGTGTGGCACACCCCATGTTTGTTCGAGGGCTCCCTGTGTTCATGTGGATGTTACATCAATGACACTGGTAACCAGTTAGCTTTTTAAAACGGGCGTAAATATTCCATTCAAACCTTTGAAGTGCTCAATTTCAGTCTCACATTAGTTGAATTATTTGAAAGAGGCGAGACTACAGAAAGGTCAAATATGAGACCTGACGACTGCCTGCTGCAGAAATCACAGTCAATCAGTCTGATCGTGTGAAGTCAAAAGTTTATGGATATTGGACACAATGTTGCAAATTAATCATGTAAATTACCCTACATGAGTAATTTGAAGTATAGTTATTGATATGTATTATTGATCAATAATAGTGATTCTGTGCGCCTGCAGGGCGAGCTGCTGTTATCTTCGTCTCTCACTAACAGGAAACTGGTTTACTGTGTTTGGCAGGAGGAGGAGTTCAACTGGCTGCTTAAAGAAGAAGTGCACGCTGTCCTAAAGCAGCTCCAAGATGTTCTCAAGGTAAACGCTGAGCTTTAGCCAGGGAGCTCTGTGCTGGTCACACCAAGTCTTTGCCAGGCTGTTGGTGACAACATCTGGCAGATGAAACACAAGTGTCCTCAGCACCATGAACAGTCCTGTCAGTGAGCATCTCTAACAGGAAGAAGCTCTCAGGTCGTTCCAGCACATGTTCTGAAGACGTCTCTGCTGTGTTCTTGTCACCAGGAGGCGTCCAGACGTTTCTCCATGCCGACACCAGGCTTTGAGAATCAGCTGAAGCAGGAGAACTTCATCCTCGGCAGCTCAACGTAAATGCAGCTCACACTGCCGTACTGTTACATGTAACGCTGTCGGCACGTGATAGGCTCACCTTTCACATCCACTTCCTTCTGTATTTGTTGTCCTGTGATGATTCAAAGGTAAACATGTGACTTCTTTCAGCAGCATGGATCAGGTGAAGGGCGTGCTGACGCTGCAGGGGGAAGTGCTGACTCAGGCTGTGAGTTTATGACGTTCTCACAAAGCTTTCTAACGACACTGCTGTGGGCTGAGCATCTTTAATGTTTGACTCTGTCTCAACAGGATATCAACCTGAAGGTTGCAAAGAGCAGCCAAGTGTTGCACTTCCAGTTTAGAGAAGACAAGCAGTGGAAACTGCAACAGGTATAGAAAACAGAGCTTCACCTAATACAACACGTAGCTGCTTCTCTGACGTTACAGCTGCAGAAGTTTGAGGATGAAACCTTAGAAAACAATGAGAAAGAAGGCAGCTCCTCAGCTCCCC